TCGGAAGAGGAGGAGAGCAGACATCAAGAAGGAATCTGGTGGTACGTTTGCTGTTCTTGTTAGCGTGTCTTTGTTAGAACGGTCTTTTAGGGTTTCGAATTTGAAATGGAAATTGGAACGGGGGTTTCTGTTAGCGATGGGAATTGGAGAATTTCTTGGATGATCTGTCCTGTTAATGGGTTAGATGTTCAATTTCCTGTTTCTTCGGCTTGCTTTCTTTCGTCTTTTACACCCTCTTTGTGGGCGATGACTTGCGTATGCTTCTCGTGTCATCTGTGTTCTCTGTTCAATAAAACTCATTTGTTTCCATTTTCAGTGATCTCGGATATTGTGGCATGTCCCGAGGAGCAGATTTTGACTGATACCCAACTGGATATGGATGGTGGTCCGGGCGGTGAAAATCTAGACGAAGAAGATGAAGCAATGGTGGAGGAGACACTATCTGGTACTAAAGCTGATGCCTTTTGAATTTGATTTCTTGAATAATGGTTCCCACTGCTGTACCTTGATTTGTCCTCAAGTTATTTTTGCAATTTGGAATCTTTTCCTTAGCTTCATTTGCAATTTATGTATATTCAAGACATGTGTCTGTCGCCTGAAAACGTTTTGCCTTCTTTTTAGGTGATGAGGACACAGCCAGCGAGACTAACTGGGGTATGGACTGTTCTACTGTTGTAAGAGTTAAAGAACTGCACATCAGTTCTCCCATCTTGGCAGCAAAAAGTCCATTCTTCTACAAGGTATTATCCTTTGTCCTAAAAGTTTTGTTTTCCCCCTTCTCCTGTTAGTTCTTGCACCTTAACTTTTTCCTTTTGTCCATTTTCTTTCCCTGTTGTAGTTATTCTCCAACGGAATGAGGGAGTCCGAGCAAAGGCACGTGACTCTTAGAATTAGCGCATCAGGTATACCCATTCAACACGGCCCTAGCTGTCGACTTCAGTTCAACTTTGTTTGCTCTATTGTTGTATGCAGAGTTAGCTGCTATGCATTAGTTCCGTAAATGGTATTGATATTGATGCCATGTGTTCTATTTCTGGCAGAGGAAGCAGCTTTGATGGAGCTTTTAAACTTTATGTATAGCAATACCCTATCCGTCACAACAGCACCTGCTTTATTAGATGTGCTGATGGCTGCCGACAAGTTCGAGGTAGCTTCATGCATGAGGTACTGCAGTAGACTGCTCCGAAATATGCCTATGACACCTGAATCGGCATTGCTCTATCTCGAGCTTCCCTCTAGTGTTCTGATGGCTGAAGCAGTTCAGCCTCTAACTGATGCTGCAAAACAGTTCCTTGCCTCTCGCTACAAGGATATTACCAAGTAAGATAAAAGAATAGCTGTGAGATGCAACTAGAAATCTCTATAATGTCTCACCTCCCGAATTTGAGGTCAATTATTTCGTTTTCGGTCTTTCAGCTATTGTAGTTGCTTCTCTAGATCTCCTTGGGATTATGGGTGGGTTTGAAGCGACTGCCATTGGTTTCTCTAGCAGAATGTTACTCTTTGTTGTAACACACATGATGTATTCATGGTTTACCTTCTTTTCCAGGTTCCAGGAAGAGGTTATGTCGTTACCTTTGGCAGGCATAGAGGCAATACTGTCGAGTGATGATCTCCAAATCGCATCAGAAGATGCCGTGTATGATTTTGTCCTGAAGTGGACAAGGGCGCAATACCCTTCTTTGGAGGAGAGAAGAGAGGCTCTTGGTTCACGCCTTGCACGTTATATCCGTTTCCCGTACATGACCTGTCGGAAGCTCAAAAAGGTATTAGCTTGCAGTGATTTTGACCACGAAGTAGCATCAAAGCTTGTTCTAGAAGCTCTTTTCTTCAAGGCAGAAGCCCCCCACAGGCAGCGGAGCCTTGCTGCCGAGGAATCGGCATCCCTGAACCGGCGGTTCATAGAACGGGCTTACAAGTACAGACCCGTTAAAGTCGTGGAGTTTGAGCTTCCTCGGCCACAATGTGTAGTATACCTCGACTTAAAGAGGGAGGAGTGCACAAACCTATTCCCCTCGGGAAGGGTCTATTCGCAGGCTTTCCACTTGGGCGGTCAAGGGTTTTTCCTCTCGGCGCACTGCAACATGGACCAGCAGAGCTCGTTCCACTGTTTCGGGCTGTTCCTCGGGATGCAGGAGAAAGGGTCGGTGAGTTTCGGGGTGGACTACGAGTTCTCAGCTAGGTCAAAACCCACCGAGGATTTCATCAGCAAGTACAAAGGGAACTACACATTCACGGGAGGGAAAGCGGTGGGCTATAGAAACCTGTTTGGGATACCATGGACGTCGTTCATCGCAGAGGACAGCCCCTACTTCATCAACGGCATTCTCCATCTCAGAGCCGAGCTCACCATCAAACGATCCGCAGATCTCCATTGACGTCCCCTGTTATATATATATATATATATATAGATAAGTATGGTATTTGTTTGAAGTAGCTGACTAGCGCCGGTCTTGTCTTCACTTGTGAAGCAGAGTGAAAACGGTGTTTTCTGTTAATGGCTGAAGGGGTAGACCACTAGACCTCGGATGTTTGTCTCTGACTCGTGTAAAAGTGATGCAAATCTGTGTGTGAACGTTGTATCGGCTCGTTTCGTTTAATGGAATGGTTCACTTTCTGTCCCATGCCATCTCCTCGTTGATATTTTTGGCAGTTTTCTGTTTACTACCAGATGCTTCCGTGTTACAGTCATGAACACTCTTGTCTGAGATTTGTTCTTCCCTCGGTTCGATCAATGGGCTTTTGACAATGATAAATCTACAATAAAGCGTAATTTCTTTTATATTTCCCCAAATAAAAAAAAAGTTGGGTTTACGGATATGGTCCATCCACGCGCATTCTTTGGGCCGATTACAAAGTGATTGGGCCATCTGAATTGTTACATAGCCCAAATGTATGGGCCTGATTTTGTAACGAGATTATTGGGCCGACTAAAGCATAAGACTATATCCCGAGATGGGCTTTCCGTGAAAATGACGCCGTATGACACATATGCTCACTATACTATGTGTGAACACGATTCTGTTTTTTTTTTTTTCAAATAATGCAATTACGCAATTACGAGTATCGCCACTAAGGATATTTTTGACATTTTGCAGAGTGCGTCCTCGTCAAATGGGGCCCACATTAATTGCGTCGTTAGCCATCCTCCACCTGCATGCCACGTCATCTTGTCGGGCAATTTTGACCGTCTGATTCGAGATCGGAGCCCTGTTTTATTTCTGTATTTCTTAAAAGTAAAATAATGTCGACACGTCAGATACCTCGAGTCACATACACGTTTTCTCTCTCCTCACGTCCGCGTGAATGACGCATCACCGTTGATGGTGCCTTCCCATCGACGGTTCGGAGTATCTATGACGTGGCATTCTCATTGCTTGCGTCACTCCCACTCCTTCCGCTTAATGTTACGCACATTGTACATCGTAACGTAATGCTCTCGGAATCAACCAATGATAAAGCGACACGTAGATGTTTCCTTATTTTCTAGAAAGAGCGGAAGGGTGCGTGACAATGTGAGTCGTGTCTTATGTGGGGACCACAGAGGTTCCCTGGCTCGACGTGCCAGCCAGCGTGGTACACGTCGGATTCGGACCACTGGAGACCGACATATCTTTAAGTTTTTTGTTCTAAAAAAAAAGACTAGTTGCGTGTGTGTGGGGGCCACTTCGTGGATTAGATGCTCTTTTCAAACGAGGCAAAGCCTCGTGGCTTTAACCAGATGCGGATTCTCTCCCAGCGTGACCGTCGGATCGTTTACATCCCAGCCGTTGGATTTGAAGACGTAGCATGTATCTGGGCCCTACGTTTTATATTTTAATAGAAAATGGAAAAAGGGACCTTTTTTTCCATGATGGCGAGAAGGTGACCGTACACGTGGGCCGCCTTGGGGCTGAATCAGGAGATGAAGATGGACGGTCAGGATCTGGAGTTTGGTTGTTGATATCTAAAAAGGGAATTGTGTCGAGACATAAAAGTGCTCTCCGCGTCGGAGAGAATAGTCAAAGGTCTTTTCGCCCCGAAATTACTATAATACCCCCACTGCCATCTTACGTTTATTCTTAAACCACGGTTTCCAATTCTTCGAATTGCTTACGCATTAATTTTTTTTTTGTTAAATACATTAAACATTTTTCTTTTTTTTGGTTGAATAACATTATCCTTCTTTTTTTTTTACAATTTTACGTTGGAAATCTCCCTAATTAAGCGATTATCATTAAACTCTTGAGGATTTATGTTTTCTTTCCATCAATTAAATACTGTTTTCTGCATCCTTTTTGAGATATTTATTTAATTACAATTAGTGCAAACGTTACGTTTTTTTATTAATAATGTTCAACAATTGCGTGCCTAAAATCTTATTCTTAAATAAAAAAAATTTAATAATAAAATAAGAACTTGAGCTGAAGATATTTTAAATTCTATTGATTAGAATTAAAAAAGTAAAGAAAACAATTCAGAAAAATAAAAAAATAAATGGACGTACTAGTCACACTTAGGGGTGTCAAACGAGCTAGCTCGGATCATTTTGGGCTCGGCTCATTTAGCTCGGATCGTTTTGGGCTCAGCTCGTTAGGGTCGTTTTCTAACGAGCCAGAAAAACCTCGGCTCAGATCGCTCGCCAGTTTTCCGATCTGAACGAGCCGGGCATAATAGATCTTCACGCGGCTCCCGGGTCACAAAACGGGATGGAACACAGTTCCAGCAGAGATGGAACAACAGGTTGGCCTACAAATTCAGACTATATCTCACAGACATTGGACGTTATAGACTTTCTTGCTTCCAGGTACAAAACAGTTGTCTCTTCCCTTATCCAATCTAATTTACTTTCACCATGTACTCAATTCCATGTTTCTGGTTCTTGAACAGCTCGCCAGTTCGCCGAGCCAGGCTCATTGAACACGTGTTCAATGAGTTCTGGCTCGTTAGGCTCGTTTTTTAACGAGCTAAAAAAATTAAGGCTCAGATCGTTCGTTTTCTGGCGAGCCACGAGTCAACTCGCGAGCCAGGCTCGTTTTGACACCCCTACACATGACGGGTGGAGATAGGTTGGCCCAGCCTCTTATACGTAGATCGAGTCAGATGCGAACACGTGTGCGGTAGAGATGACGTCTGACGAAACAAATGGCTGGCTCAAAAGTCGATGAGCCAACTCATCAACCTCCACCGTATATACGCTGTACGTATACGCCGTATCATCTGCTTGACACGTGTTTGATGACGTGGTTGTCGCCTTGGCGCCCCGTTTTTGTCCCTTGCCTCTCTCCTCCTCCTCTGTCAAAGGGAAACTGAACTTTTAGAGGGAGAAAGTGGAGAGAGAAGCTAATGCGTTAATTCTCCGTGGCGGTTTCGTGATTTGATCTCCGGCGTTGTCGTCTTCGTTTCTCGCTGGAGCTTTGATCCTTGAGGTATGGCGGAATTTAGGTTATGCAAAGGCTTTTACTTGAACTCCGTGCTGAATCTGTCTGGCTTCCTAGAAATTTTCATTCCTGTGAAACGGAGAACGATAAGGGTCTCCGACCATTAGGAGGAGGAGATACGAGGAATCAAAAGACTTTGTCGTTTTATGATTGTATGCCCCGTTTTTTAGCTCAGGGAAACTGGAGAATTCACGACACTGATCCAGCTTTTACCTTTTTCTCGGCATCTATACAGAGATAAAATCTGGGATTGTGTCATGATCTTGTGAACCGTTAAATCCTTTGCGTTTATCATTTTTTTTAATCTTCTAGTTAAATTCGATTACTACTATGGTAATCGATAAATGGGGGAAAAAAAATTGTTCTTTTATAGAATTTACAGACAGAACGACAACCCGTTAAAATGTCCGAGAAATCGAAGAGAGGAGAGAGCTTGTTGTGCATGCCATGGTTGAAGGGTATATTTGTCCATTAATGCCGTAGTTTTCCTGGGCGAGGTTGATTTGGTCTCCGTCCTTGACCTAATAGGGTAAAAAGTAAAACTTTCTTCTTGGATGCAAGTGGTGAGGTAAAAAAAGACGTTCTTGTCTTCCACCACACCCTTCGGGGTGGAAAATGAAATTTGACGTCTGATTTCTCCTTGTCTGTTCTTCCGTTTCACCGACAGAGATGCAAAGCTTGGCCCTTTTGAATGTTGTCGGAAGATTACACATAACGCTATTAGCTGTGTTTCTTTCTTGCTTTGTGGAGAAGTTTAGGTGAAAATCTGTAGTCTTTTAGGTGATTACACGTTTAGGAGGATGTAGTTAGTTGGAGCACCCTTGTGACGGGTAAACCTTTTCCTAAGACTTTTTGCTAAGTTTTGCCTGACAGTGCTAAATCACTGTTGATGATGATGCTGTTTATATTGTAAGAGTGACAATACTTCAGTCTTTTGCTTCACAGGGAGAGGCAGTGTTCTCAAGTTGCATTCGGGCCATGGGAAGCAACAGCGAGGAGCCAAAAGCTGCCAAGTCTGATAAATCATCCCCGCCTCCTGCACCTGCGGTAATGCGGCGTGATCCAGTTATAAATACCCGTTTTATTTTCAAGACTCTTGTGATTGTTCGATCTTGATTTGGAGTTAAAACATTCATTGACTCGGTCACGTTGTTGGTTTTTGCTCTCTTGTTGGTAGGATCAGACGAACGTCCATGTGTACCCTGATTGGAACGCTATGCAGGTTTGTCCCATCCATGTTCGTAGTTCCGAATTCTCATCCCGTAGTGCGAAAACCGTTTGCTTCTTCTGGAATATAATTATATCCCATTACAAAGGCATGATGATAATTTGTTTTTATAATTTCTCGCTAGGCATACTATGGTCCGAGAGTTGCTGCTATTCCTCCTTATTACAATTCAGCTGTTGTGGCATCTGGACATCATCATCCTCCTCCACCACCTTACATGTGGGGTCCTCAGGTACTAGCCCTGAAGCCTCTTGCTTGTCTGAAGTCGAGTTCCGTATGTATACATATAGTAACACGTGAGACAATCATTTCCTGTCTTGATCTTCAGCCTATGATGTCCCCGTATGGAGCATCCTATGCGGCACTTTACTCTCATGGAGGAGTATACGCCCATCCTGGAGTTCCTATGGTAAGTCCATGCTATATGTAGATTTATTTTTACATTGGTTAAAGATTGTATTGCAATGGAAATTGTTGTTAGTCCTTCTCTGATAATTTAGTTTCTAACATCTTTCGCCAGGGTTCACTACCTCCGGGCCAGAAGGTTCCACCCTCAACAGCTGTAAGTGGTAGAATTTAACCACTCTTAGGGATGCTGTAAGAATCACCCGTTATAACTGTCAGTTGTAATAACGGTTGGTTTATAATGCAACAGTCCGGGACGCCTTTGAGCATCGATGCTCCTACCAAATCTACCGGAAACACAGACAACGGTCTGATGAAGAAGCTGAAAGAGTTTGATGGGCTTGCAATGTCTATTGGAAATGGTCATGTCGAGAATGCTGAGGGTAGGGCTGAACATAAACGGTCGTTGAGGTTTGTCTACGCTTACTCATCGCTTCTCTAAAATATTTGTCGGTATTCTTTGTTTCAAACTGAATTTGTTCGATGTGAACAGCCCGGAAACTGAAGGTTCATTTGGAGGGAGTGATGAGAATACAAGTGGGGTAATGCTCTTTTATCTTTCCCGCAAGCATTTTGGTTCAAACCCCTTGAAAATCGGTATGTCTGTGATCTAAAGAGTTTACTCCTCCTGTATTGTTTTTTTTCAGGCGGATCAACCAAAAATTAAGAGGAGTCGGGAGGGAACGCCCTCAAAAGGTATTGTTCTCATATCTTCTTGAGCTGTCTTGGTGCTTCTACTCTGTCATATGTCACCGCCATTGGATTATTCTTGTTTCCTCAATCCTGTTAGATCAATGAATCTAGTATTCTATTTTGCACAGATGAGAGACATTTCTCTCAGTCCAGCCCAGTTTCTTCTGTTTCTCCCGACAGAAAACCTGTTACAGGAGCTGTCCTGTCTCCGGGTGCTAGTGCCAAGTCCAATCACTGCCCTTCACAATCTCTGGCCATTGTTCCTTCTGAATCCTGGCTTCAAGTACTATTCACTCTCCCTTTCTCGATCTATCTACCTTTCCAGTTTGCTTGTATAATCTTTATATGTCAGTGCCTCGCAAAAGGATCCATTCTTTGGTACACTAAAGTAAAACTAGCGCGCTTTGTTCTGCGATTTGCACAGAATGATAGAGAACTGAAACGGGAGAGAAGGAAGCAATCTAATAGAGAATCTGCTAGAAGGTCAAGATTAAGGAAACAGGTCAATAAGAAACAGAATTTCTATTACAACTCCTTCTGTTGATGTGATTTTGCCTGAATTGCTTGAACACTAAAGCTAAAAGCTTTTTGTCTTCTTCCTTTATCTTAGGCTGAAACCGAAGAGCTTGCCAGGAAAGTCGAAGCCTTGACAGCTGAAAATATAGCTCTCAGATCAGAAATAAACCAACTATCTGACAAATCCGAGAAACTTAGAGTAGAAAATGCAACCTTGGTGGTAAGCGGCTCTGCCTTACCTCTGCATATTCACATCACATCATATACGCATATATACGAACATATCTTGAGACCGGGGCTTTGGCTTTTGCAGGAGAAGCTGAAAGGTTCAGAGCTCGGGACTAACCCGGAGAGAGGATCGAGCAACGACGAAGAGAACAGAGTCTCAGGTGTTAACACAGAGAATCTACTCTCGAGAGTGAACAGCTCAGGACAGGGAGACAATGATCCAAACTCCAACGGTAAACTGCATCAACTACTGGACACGAGCCCTCGAGCCAACGCTGTAGCCGCAGGCTAATATTAACCAGGTAAAAAAATATAAAACATATGTTTCCGATCATCATCATCATCGGACACAGAACAAAACCAGTGTTTTGCTGATTTCAGGTGAAGAATCATTCTAACAGTGTAGTAGGAGGGTGAGGGGGGGGGGGGAAGGGGGGAGCATCATAATAAACTGGAGAGAGAGAGAGAGAGAGATTTGATAGGAGGTTGTGTGATGTTGTTGTCGGCTAAGTAAAAAGGCTTTCCTTGTTGCAGTAACTGATGTAATTTTATGGAAGATCAGTGTTGTGTGTGCTTGGTTAAAGCCTTCTTTAATCTCTTTTTTTATTTTTTGGGTTTTAGTTGGGGTTTGTGTAAATCGTAATATTATCTGTAAGAGAACAGAACATGTTACAGCAGCATTAGAGATTGTTGTCCGGACCAGATTTAATGATTAAAAAGAAAACTCGGTTGTATTGATGTGGTTTCGTTGTTTTCGCTTCCTTGGATCGTGGAACTGATGAGTCTCGTGATTTCTCCAGATGATGGAAATGTAGCAATTTTATTCGAAAACCGGACCGGAAAACCGAACCGGATTGGCCAAATGTCCACATTTCATTGATCTGTTGCTTGTGTCCCTTTCCGATGTTCTGATATGCAGCTGATTGTCACCACTACACAAATTCTACTTAAAAAAACAAAAACAAAATAATTTGGAAAATACATATTGGTATTTGGTATATCGGGTTTTAGTGCCGTTTATGTTCGGATTTAGACTTTTTTTTTTATTTAAACGAAATTATATTTATTCGACTTTTATTTTTTTTAGGTTTATTTCGCTTTAATTTCCCTTTAAATGTATTTATTTTTATTCGTCTCATTTCATGTGAGCTATATCTTACTATGGGGGCTATATATTTCTCTTAAAATATGTTTTATTTTCGATTTAATTCACAAAAATTGGGTTTGGGCTATTGAGCTAATCTCTTATCTATGGGCTCCTTTATTTGATTTTGAATGGTGTTTTAAGTTTCAGCAATATAATTGGGCTATGGCCCATGGGCCCCAACTTATATAGGACTCGGACATTAATTCGATTCGCTTTTTTTTTTTGGCAATTGTATTTTATTCATTATGTTTTCCCCTTCTTTTTTTTTTTTTATCTGCGGTATCTATTCCATAACTTTTTTTTTTCATTCTTTTTCGGCAGCAGTATTTGTTCTGTATCTTTTGTTTCGGGATTTCAAAAGAGTTAAAATCTCAAAACAAAATGGAATTTGTTGATTCAGCTGCAATAATAAAATTTAAACAAAAAGATTCAAAGCTGTTACCTCTCAATCGTAGCTTTTAATATAATTTTAATTAAAAAAATTGACGTATTTGACATGATTTTAAAAAAATATTATTTCATAATGGATTATTTATAAAAAAATCCGATTCGGGAACATGAAGGGGAACAATGTATGGAGGATGAGACATGGGGTTGGGGTCTCCACGTGACTTGTCGCTCATCCACACCACAAGCCCCATCTGATTATATCTTAACTCCGCATATTATATATATCCCCAATCCCATGAAAATATTTATAATACGATTTTCAGTCTGCTGCTTACTAACTGTATATACACGTCATGTGTTTCAGAGTTTGAATGTTTGAATCAATATTTCTTATAATAAATATGGACCGTTGAATTTATCGTACACGTACTTTTGTCCTTTCTCTACACTCCTGCCCTTTTGAATTGAGTTGAGCCCGTGGCACATGACCATGACACTAATAGCCTAAACTATATATATATGTGTATATGTATATGTACACATGTGTGTGTATGTGTGCTAAAAATAAATAATTTATATACGACCAAGTCAGATTTAACAAATGATACCGTTTGTCGTTTCCCAAGTACTTTGAGAAGATGAGATTAGATTGTAATAGATGGCCATTTTAATTTTTAACATAAAAAAAATCCAAATTGTGGTCAAATAAGAAATAAAATGGGGAAAAAAGGACAAAACATAAAAGTTGATAAAAGAGGACATGGGAATCGGGAAAGGATGAGAGAGTTTAGTCGTGTCTCAAGAATCTTGTCTCTTAATTATGGTTATTATCTCCTCACTTGTAACCCCCCCCCCCCC